ATTTTTTTATAATTTTGTTGTAATTTTTCTTATAATTTCTTTAACAATTTCTTTTATAATATTTTTATAACTTTTTTTATATTTTTTTATAATTTTTTATTTTTTATATTTTTTTTATAATTTTTTATTTTTATATATTTTTTTGTATAATTTATTATTTTTTTATAATTATTTGTTTTTTATAATTTTTTATTTTTTTATCATTTTTATAATTTATAATTCATTTTTTATTTTTTATAATTTTTTATTTTTTTATAATTTTTTATTTTTTTTTATAATTTTTTATTTTTTTATAGTTTTTTATTTTTTTTTTTAGTTTTTTATTTTTTTTATAATTTTTTATTTTTTTATAATTTTTTATTTTTTTATAATTTTTTATTTTTTTTATAATTTTTTATTTTTTTATAATTTTTTATTTTTTTTTTATAATTTTTTATTTTTTTTATCATTTTTTATTTTTTTATCATTTTTTATTTTTTATCATTTTTTATTTTTTTATCCTCTCGTTTTGAATATTGTTCTGTAAATATTTGTTATTGCACTTTTACACAAAGAAGAAGAAGAAAAGCACATTATTGCGCGGCGTTAGAATAAATAAAATTGTTACAATTTATTCAGTTTAAGTAAACAATAGAGAAAAAACGAACAGAAAAAAATGCCGCAATGCAATGACAATTAGAGAACGTGTTCAACAACTGGTTCTGAGGAACACAGATGCGGCATTTTTGTGTGTGTAAGGAACATGAGGGTAGAAGGGAAATAATTTATATACAAAGAAAATAATGTCAAAAATAAATAATTTTTCTATTAAAAACAAAGTGGATCAGCAAATTTTTCTCAAGGAAAAATTTGAATGCAGCGATTTTTGTATAGAAGAAAAGAAGCAATTTTTCGTAGAAAAAAAATATTTTTTAGAACACTTACCAGTAGACCAGTTTCAACATTTGGTATGAGAATAATTTTTGAGCCATCCATAAGATTGTTTTCCTTCAAAGAGCCATCCTGAAGTTCTCTGAAAATAAGAAAGATAAAATTATTAATTAACATCGTTCAATATTTCTCGCCAGTTCAAATTTTTTTTCAATAAATTTCAATTATACTCAAATCAAAAGTAAGTACAAAAATACCAATCACAAATTACCTCATTAGCATACAAAACAACAAATTGTCTATTGGCTATTGTTGTGATTTAATTTCTTTATAATTTCGAAATTTGAATATTAATTTAAAAAAACGTAAACTGTAGTTAGACTCTTTAGTTAAAGTACAAATGAAAAAACACACACACACACATTTGAAAAATGTCGAATTATTCATTTGTCCATCGAAAAAAAACAACATTAAAGACTATGAACAGCGAACAAATAATGTGATTAGAATACTTTAAAAACAATATTATTATTTTTTATTTCATTTTTAAGAATTTTAATTAGCCCTGAGAGATGGAGACAAAGACATTCTGAAATAATTTTAATGTCAAAATAATTACGACAACAACAACAGCAGCAGCATGATTAATGACATGTTTTTTGGGGGATAATAAAATGGGGGGGTTTATAGCCAAGGAAGGAACATTGAGAGAATTTTAAAAAAAATCAAAGAAGATTGCTTTACAGGCACATAATATTTCCTTCCTGGATTTCGGTCTGGAATGAAGTAAATCGAATTATATATAATAGACATTAGCTTCATATATAATTCACTATTCGGGAATTTATTTATTAAAAAATATATATTTCTTTTAAAAATTACATAAAATAATATGTTTTTTGCAAACAAATTAAAAAAAAATCTTAAAAAAAATATTTTCTTAAAGAATTATCTTTTTTTTAAAGAAATATATTTTCTTAAAAAATATATATTTTCTTAAAGAAATATATCTTCTTAAAAAATATATATTTTCTTAAAAAAATATATATTTTCTTAAAAAATATATTTTTTTTTATCTTAAAAAATATATATTTTCTTAAAAAATATATGTATTTTCTTAAAAAATATATTTTTTCGTAAAAAATATATATTTTCTCAAACAAATATATATTTTCTTAAAAAATATATATTTTCTTAAAAAATATATATTTTCTTAAAAAATATATATTTTCTTAAAAAAGATATATTTTAAAAATAAATATGTTTTCTTAAAAATAAAAAATACATATTCTTAGAATTGTATTTTCTTTAAAAAAAATAATTTCTTTAAAAAGTTAAATTTATAAAAAAATATATTTTTAATTATTTTTTATATTATTTTTTATATTATTTTTCATATTATTTTTTAAATTAATTTTTTAAATTAATTTTTATATTATTTTTTTATATTATTTTTTTATATTATTTTTTTATATTATTTTTTTATATTATTTTTTTATATTATTTTTTTATATTATTTTTTATATTATTTTTTATATTATTTTTTTATATTATTTTTTTATATTATTTTTTTATATTATTTTTTTATATTATTTTTTTATATTATTTTTTAAATTATTATTTTGTATTT